ATAAAAAAAATTGGGGGGCACACGGGGTGGTTGGCGAAGCAGCAGGAGGCCCTGAAAGGGCTGACTGTGGAGGAGGAGGAGACCGCTATGATAGAGGCCCTCCAAGACCTGCAGCTCAGCACTCTGAGAGAGGAGACCACCACCTTACAGGGGGTGTTAGCGAAGAGGGAGCAGGAGATCTCCCTTCAGAGGGAGGCGCTGCAGGAGGCCCACAGGGAGAAGGAGTCAGTGGATGCACTGAGAGAGGAGCTGGCTAGGCAACAGGAGGAGCTGAGAGCGGAGTTAACCCTACAGCAAAAGAGAACGCAGTCCTCAGAGCAGAGGCTGGCGGAGCCAGGTTTCAGAGTAGAGCCAACTCCCCGCACTCGCGTTAAGGAGCGTGGGACCGTTCAGGCACCCTGTTATGCTGTGATACGCACTGTATCTCCAGTGCGCATTCACAGCCCGATGCGCTTGGTGCCCGCGCCCCGCTCTTGCCAGGCTAAAGTGAGCGTTCAGCCAGGACGGGTTGTGCCTGCTCCTCGCACCAAACCAGTGGTGCGTGTCTCCAGTCTGGTACAGCCCGTGCCTGCTCCTCGCACCAAACCAGTGGTGCGTGTCTCCAGTCCGGTACGGCCCGTGCCTGCTCCTCGCACCAAACCAGTGGTGCGTGTCCCCAGCCCGGTACGGCCCGTGCCTGCTCCTCGCACCAAACCAGTGGTGCGTGTCCCCAGTCCGGACGGCCCGTTCCAGCGCCATGCACCCGACCTCCAGCGAGGGTCCTCTGCTCCACCCCGGTGCCTAGTCCAGCTCCGGTCAGCTGGTCCAGTCCGGTGCCAGAGTAGTCCGCTCCACCGGTGCCTAGTCCAGCTCCGGTTAGCTGCTCCTCTCCAGTGCTGGAGCAGTCCGCTCCACCGGTGCCCTGTCCAGCTCCGGTTATTTTCTCCCTACCAGAGCCGGGGCAGTCTGTTTCACCGGCGCCAAGTTCAGCTCCGGTTAGCTGCTCCACTCCTGTGCTCGATTAGTCCGGTCCACCGGTGTTTAGTCCAGCTCCGGTTATCTGCTCTTCCCCCATGCCGGAGCCATCCGCTCCACTGGGGTCAGAGCCGGAGCCAGACGTCAACCCCTCTCCAGGGTTGGGGCCTCCCACACCAGGGTCCAGACAGGGTTTGGTGCATCGCGGGAGGACTGCCGAGCCGGAAACAGCCGTCAACCCCTCTCCAGGGTTGGGGCCTCCCACACCAGGGTCCAGACAGGGCTTGGTGCATTGCGGGAGGACTGCCGGGCCGGAACCAGGCGTTAACCCCTCTCCAGGGTCGAGGGCTCCCACACCAGGGTCCAGACAGGGCTTGGTGCATCGTGGGAGGACTGAGAGGGGAAGCATCGCACCAGCGTCCAGACCGGACCGGGTGTGCAACGGGGAGGCAGGAAGGGAGTAGAGGTTAATACCGACGTCGCGCCCGGAGCCGCCACCGAGGCTAGATGCCCACCCGGACCCTCCCCTAATGAGTCAGGTTGGTGCGACCGGAGTATGCACCTTTGGGGGGGCGGGGGGGGGGGGGTTACTGTAGCCTGTTGAACTTCACGTTTGTTTGTATTTTGTTGTTTTGATTCTTTATTCAGTTAATAAAGGAATATGTACGCATACCATGCTGCACCTTGGTCTGATCCGTCTATCAACGAGCGTGACAGTCCCCTCTGAACAGTTGATGTGTTTGTGACTTGAACTCTGTTAAGCATTCATTTGGGCTGCAATTTCTGAGGCTGGTAACTCTAATGAACTTATCCTCTGCAGCAGAGGTAACTCTGGGTCTTCCATTCCTGTGGTGGTCCTCATGAGAGCCAGTTTCATCATAGCGCTTTATGGTTTTTGCGACTGCACTTGAAGAAACTAAAAGAATTATTGAAATGTTCCGTACTGACTGACCTTCATGTCTTAAAGTAATGATGGACTGTAATTTCTCTTTGCTTATTTGAGCTGTTCTTACCATAATATAGACTTGGTCTTTTACCAAATAGGGCTACCTTCTGTATACCAACCCTACCTTGTCACAACACAACTGATTGGCTCAAACGCATTAAGAAGGAAAGAAATTCCACAAATTAACTTTTAAGAAGGCATACCTGTTAATTGAAATGCATTCCAGGTGACTACCTCATGAAGCTGGTTGAGAGAATGCCAAGAGTGTGCAAAGCTGTCATCAAGGCAAAGGGTGGCTACTTTGAAGAATCTAAAATATAATTTGATTTGTTTAACACTTTTTTGGTTGCTACATGATTCGATATGTGTTATTTCATAGTTGTGATGTTTTCACTATTATTCTACAATGAAGAAAATAGTAAAAATAAAGAAAAACCCTTGAATGAGTAGGTGTGTCCAAACTTTTGACTGGTACTGTAGGTTAAGGGAACATCGGGCTGAGGGAACATTGGTTGGACCTCTCCTCCCCTCCCCTCCCAACACGGTGGCTTGGCCACAACACTGATATGGGCTGTGCTTACTGTAACTGTAAATAATTAAACTGTTTTATCACGTCTGAAAGATCATGCATGCAAATCCCCAGCGCCTCTATTTTTTGTCCTAGCTATGACAACAGTTCCAGTAGGTTAAATCTCCTACAGGCGCCATTGGAGTTTATTTAAATTTGACGCAACTGTAGAATTTAAGTCAATAGCCCTTGTCAAATGAGTTGGAAAAGTACGTGCTCCAGGTGTTGATGACGCTAGCCCAAGGAGGGAACTTTAAACTCAGCTGAAAGCTTCTCATTGTTAACTGAACAGTGCAGGGCTTCCCCCCCAAGCCTTCAACAACTGCCCATATCTGTATTCTCTCTCTCTCTCTCTCTCTCTCTCTCTCTCTCTCTCTCTCTCTCTCTCTCTCTCTAACACACACACACACACACACACACACAGATACACACACACACTCTCTCTCTATCTTTCTTCAAATCACACCCCTGTGTCTGTCTATGGTTGGCCCAGCCCACCCCAGTGCATTGTGGTCTTGTGGTGGTAATGTGTAAATGTACTCTTTCCAACTGCAGCTTTATTTTTTTCTCTCTCTCCTTGTTTCTGGGCCTAAAATCAGGTTAGTGTTTCATAAGGAGCTTAGCACAGTGGGCCACAGTGTGCTACTAATGTAATAGTCTCTGGCTTCTCTTTGCTCTCTCGCTCTCTCTCTCTCTCATTCTCTCTCCCCGCTCTGCCCTCTTTTCTCCCTTTCTGCATATGCTGACCCCGGCATGGCTTGACCTTCTCTGTCCCTGCCTTTCTCTCTGTCCTTATTCTCTCTCTCCCTGTCTGTCTCTCTCTCTCTTTCTCTCTCTCCCTCCTTTCATCTGTCCTTATTCTCAGTCTCTCCCTCCATCTGCAGGTGTGGAGGACAGCAGCCTGAGGCTTTAAAGAGGGACAAAGGCTCCGCTGAGAGGGGGAACACAACGCTGTGTGAGAGAGGAGAGGAGAGAAGGAAGAGGAGAGAAGGAAGAGGAGGAGAGAGGGAGGGATAGCTACAGTGCAGTAAGAGCGTCTGGTAGAACTGGGTTAGTAAACACAGGAATGTTAGTCCCTGGGGAGATTTGGTTTAGCAACGTAGCATTATTTAAAGGAAAAGTACCTTTAGATAGTGATGCATTATTAAAAGCACTTATATTTGAGAATGGGCTTATGTTGCCGCAGCATATTGACTTTGGGTTACTGTGTCTAATTGCCAAGGTACAGCATGTGTACAGTATGTAGTACATCATGTGTGCAAATACTAGCCTATATTCTTTGTGTGTGTGTCTGCACGACTGTGTGTGAGTCTGTGTCTGTGTGCTTGTATGATCAATGCATCTCAGCTAAGTTTTGTGTCGCTTGGTCTGGGACATTGAAAGTTGGTGATTCATCTATTGTTGTGGGGCTGTGAAATCGTAGGGATCTCTATGCAATGTCAATAATCCTGCAGATTATCTCTCTTTTCTGGTGCTGCTTTCCTTGGGCTCATTAGACGGCTCTCTGAGGATCTGTATGGTTTCTTTTGACACCATATTTCTCAAGGGCCTTGTGGTTTAGCGAGTTGTTCTACTTTTGAATCAAACTCCATTTTACACAGTGTATGTGGGCAGCAGCTGTTACTGTGGAGGTCTGGGAAAATCTTGAATATCAACCTATTCCCTAAAGCATATTAAGGGTTATATTTGGGACATAGCCTCTCCTATGACTATGCAACAGTAGTGCTATTAAACTTGACCCATAGATCAACTCATGAAGACTCCCTAAGTCTCAATGAGGACTCAGGAGCAGGTTGAACTTTGCATGTTTCTCCATAGCTACATGCTGTCTGTCTTATCAGCCTCTGGCCATCGACCAGCAGCTCACACTGTGTAGACTTCAATACTTCGCTAGAGAGCCAGGTTATAGGCCTCTAATAACAACAGAGAGGGTGTGCTACCCGGGTCATCACGGAGTGTACTGCACTGACATGTTTGTCTGTCTGTGTGCCTGCGTGTGTGTGTGTGTTTGCATTTGTAAGTGTGGTGGGTTTTGTGTGTGTGTGTGCGCATGTGTGTGTTAACTTAATAGATCCCCATCTATTAGAGTTCCATTAACCATTTGTCCATCTGCTATAAGTTGTAAACATTGATTCATCCAGGTAGCTATAGAGAAGTAGAGTGTGTTCTCACCCCACCTTCCTGACTAGGTGAAGGTAAAAGTCTAAGTGCCAATAAACCTTTGCGCTCAGGTGGAGTGAGAGATAGTGTCCTGTTTGGGTGTGTTTTATCAGACTCATACATGTGCAGCATAGAAGCGTGTTCACAGAGACTAAAGCATGGTCAGAGAGTACCGAGTTTCAGCATTCACTCCATGGTAGAAAGGACATTCTGTATGTTACAACATCTCCGCATCTCTCTTTCTTCTCTGACTGCTGACTTCTCTGGCTATCTCTGCTTCCATTTGTTGGTCTGTCTGTCTCTCTGTTTTCTTTATTGATCCCTTTCTTTCTCTCTCTATATTCCTCCTGCAGTTGTTGAAAGGAAGGAGCGATGGAGTCTTTCGCAGGAGATGGGGAGGGCAGCACTGATGACTTTACAGGAGGTGAGACAGTGGAAAACTTGGATGATGTTTAGAAAGCATGTAAAAGCTCAGTTAGTGTACGTGTGTATCTATCTCTGTAATAAACATCTATTAGAGTGGGTTAGACTGAGTGTGTGTGTGTAGGAGTGTTAGTAGAGTGTATCTAACTAGGCACATGTTAGTGTGTGTTAGAGTGTGTCTGTATCTGTTACGTAATCTGTATTGGAGTGGGCGAGTCAGAGTGTGTATCTGCATGAATGTAGAGGGTGTGTCTGTATCTGTAGCAGTAGAAGCATGGATGAGTATCAATAAGAATACATCTGTATGCGTGCGTCATGACCAAGGCCTGTGTCCTCCAGGTAAGAGGAAGTCCAAGCTGAAGACCCTGAAGAAACGTCTGTTTGGGAGGACCAAGAGAGAGACCAAACTCAGCCAGTCTACTAGTGATGTCACTGACGCGGAGGGGCTGGGCTCAGCTGAGCATCTGTAAGTGTGTGTGTGTATATTTACAAATGTATGATTGATTCCATGACATCCATATTCCCTCCTCTCAATATTCTCTACCAGGTGTTCAGGCGTGTTGGGATCACGGGCGTTGTCACATGACAGTATTTTCTTGGCCGACCAGGATCTGTCTAGTCCGGAGCAGGCCAGGGTTCTATCCCAGGAGATCGTCCAAGGCAGGATCAAAGAACTCCAGGTGAGTCTTCATTCCATGGTGTACCCTGGATCTAGAAACCTGCATGTGCATTTAAAGGCCCAACCCCCATTCAAAAGGAGTCCCACACCTCATGAACCCTCGTCCTTCTGTGTAAATCAGGAATTGAAGTCAATGGGTTACCAAGCAGATCTCAAGGTAGGTTTCTATATTATTTCTGATTGGCCAGATGAAGCTCCAGCAGCAGAACATGCGTCTAGACCCGTCCCCAATGGTCCTGCCAATCAAACGTCCTGAGGACCTGGGGGGCAGCTCAGAGGACGATGGTCTGCCCCACAGCCCTCCCGAAATCTCCATGGGCGACAACAGACACCCCCGGGGGGCATCTTACAAGGTGAGCCCAACTGCATCCTCAGGTACTGTCTCCATAGTCTCTCCAACCTCCACCCTCAAAAAACTTCTCCATAAAATCCTCCATACCTCCATTTTCTCTCAATGAGTCGGTATGTAACTGTATGTTTACATTCCAGCAGTGCCAATAGTTGAACTTTGCATTCCTCATCAGCCATTGTGTGTCACCCAAACCCTTCCCTATTCCTCCACAGTTCCCTGCCCCTCCCAGGCACCATAGCTCTCTGAGTTTAGCAGGAACAGGAAGTGAGGAGGAAGAGCAGGTAATCCCGCTTCCTGTTTGCGGGTCAGTCACTATATCACTTGATATCAACTATGAGTCGTCATAGATCAAAATCTTTATTCTGTGTTTTCTTTGTTCATAGGCCTCCTCCCAACCCTTGTCCCGTCCCCTCTCTCCCATGCCCAAACCTCCTCTTACCAGCTTCCTGCTCCCCACCCCATCTGCCCCCCTCTCTGCCTTCTCCCCTGCCTCTCCTGCCTTGGACTTCAGCATCCCAGCCCAGTTCACCCCCTCCCTGGATAACTCTGCCGCCCGCCACCGTATGTCCATCAAGCCCAGGAACCAGAGGGCCAGCGCCAAGAACAAAAGGCTGACCATGGTGAGTCCTGCCTGGGCATACCAACTACACATGGGGCCCTTGCCTCTGGAACTCACACATAGAGGAAGGCTCTGGAAAGATCAAAATACCGGATACACTATTGCTCGATGATCTGTCTGTCTCTCTGTCTGTCTCTCTCTCTCTCTCTCTCTCTCCCCAGACTGAGTCGAGACCACGCTCAGAGAGTCTTAACAACTTTCACCGGCCCTTGACAGAGGAGGAAGACGACGGGCCTGCCATTACTGGAGGGAAAACACGTTTACGTTCTCACTCTACCCAGATCCTAAAGGCGGAGCAAGGGGGGTCGACCACCCCCACTGCACCCCCAGAGCTGACACCCCTTAAGTCTGGTCCCACAGAGGCTGAGGTGTGCCCAAAACCCTCTACCTCTACCCCAACCCTCCCCTGCAAGCCCTCTCCACAGGAGCAGCCCCATCCTGCTCTGAGACCAGTGGAAACTGTACCAGGCAAACAGCCACAGTCCTCCTCTGTGACCACAGTCCAGGACCTGAGATACACTCCACAACAGCAGACTCTGAAACAGTCCCTGGGAGACCCCAAGCCCTCAGCCCCGTCCCAAACCAAGAGGGATGTCCTGAGCAAGAGTGGGGTGAAAGATTCAACCCCCAGCACAGAGGGTAGCCCCAAAGAAAACCCAGTCCCGGCCACCCAGCCCGCAGCTAGCCTGGCCTCAGTGGTGGCTCTCAGAACATCCTCTCTGAGGTGGAAGCCAGAGGCTGGGGCTGCTGGTCAGAGTACCACAGAGCCACCTGCTGGGCAGGAGGACCCAGGTCAGGCTGAGCCACTGTCCACTGGAGGAGCTCTGAGGCCAGTTTCCGGATCCTTCCGCTTCTCCATCAACTCTACCAGGGAGCGGGAGAGACCCAGGAAGGGAAGTGGTGGTTTCTTGGGAGTAGTGGAGCAGGCTGGGGCTGGGGCGAAGAGGGAGGGGAGGGAGAAGGGGAGAGAGGTGAAGTTGACCCCCTCAAACACCAGCCAGAGGGGGCAGGAGCAGCAGGGGGGCAGGCAAGAGGAGGCCAAGCCCAAAGAAGAGGAGTTGACTGCCAGCAATATGGGGGAGAAAGTCTCGGAAGGGGAGGAGATGGAGGAGGAGAGCAGGGAGGGAGTGGAGGAGGCAGTGGAAGTGAAGGAGGAGGCACAGGAAGAGGAGGAAGAGGGGAAATCAGCATTTGGCGTGAAGCTTCGCTCCACCTATCTCTCTCTGAGGGTCCGGGCGGAGGCAGCCACCAGCAAATCAGATCTCAAGATTAAGCGCCAAAGTCAGGAGGTGGGTGCTCTCCCTCTAACCCCTTACACCCCTTCCTCAAAACCCACCGGGCTTGGGGGGCTACAGGACACTCCGTCAACCAACTCCATGCCCAAAAAGCTCAATACGAACACCTGGGATGCCCCAACAACACTGTCTTCACCCAGGGGGAGAGCTGGCTCCCTCAGAGAAGCAGGTGAGACTCCCTCTCTGAAAAGGCAGAATATTCAGCCAATTGGGTAAATAATGAACATAATATACAGTAGGTCATGCATTTACTGGATAGGGATGTCAGTGCTGGACTTTGTCCCCAAGCTACTTATACAGAATATATCATCTCTATGTTATCAGGGGCGTTAACCAATGAAGGAGATATGCTACACTAGAATAAAAATGACAGGTTACACCAGAATGATAGACTTATTCCTCTGAAGGAACTTTGTGCTTGTTGTAACACCATGACAGTACTATGTGTCATCATGTGAATGTGTCTACCCCCTGTCTACAGCAACCTCAGCCCAGCCTACCCCCTCACCTCTCACTAAAGGGGCCCAAACCACCCCAGCTACCCCTAAGGAGGTCCAAACCACCCCTGTCCCAGCCATGGAAGCCCACATTACCTCCTCAGCCCCTCAGGACCCCCCGACTGGCCCCCAGGCGGTCCCCCAGGCTACCGTATCCTGGATGAGCATGGCATGGGGGAAGACCAGGGGCCTCCAGCAGCTCTTCACCAGCAGTCTGCCCAGAGAGTTCACTGGCATGCAGTCCCCAACTCAACCGCAATGTCAGACCACAACACAACCACAGACGTCGTCACTGGCTCAGATCGTGACGCAAACTCAGAGACAGAATGCAACACAACCACAGACACAGACAACAACGCCACCACAGGCTCAGACCGCAGCACAACCACAATCACAGACCACAATGCAACCCCTGACTGCTAAACTACTGCAGTCACAGAATTCAGCACAACCACCACAGACAGCAGCACAAGCACCCACACAGACCACAAAACAACAGCAGACTGCCAAAACACCACAGACACAGAACGCAACACAACCACAGACAGTGACCCAACCATCAACACAGAACACAAAACCATCAACACACACGTCAAACCAAACCAACACTCAGGCAGCACAACCAACCACCGCCACTCAACCTCTAGCACAATCTACCCTATGTTCTGTGTCTCGGGTGACCGCACAGTCCAACCTACGAGCAACCCAGCACACCCTGCACTCCACTCCACAGCCCCAAGCCCAAGCCACACTACGGTCCGCCCCAATGGGTGCCACTTCCACTCAGCCCCCAGCCCCGTCTTCCCTCTCTTCAAGCCCAAGCTCCACACCCAGCCAGCCCCCCTGGAGCGCACGAGGTCTCAACCCTACCCCTCAGCCCAAACCAGCCTTAGCCCCAACAACAACCCCAGCCCCAGTCCAAGCACTAGGGAGAGGTGAGAGGACCCCTGTTCTCCAAGGGAAGAGTGAGGAGGCGGCTGTGCCAACAGAGAAGAGGGTGGAGCGGGACAGGCCAGGGACTGTGGGAGGGAGGGCAGCCTTTCTGGAGAAACGGGCAGAGTGGACCCCTCCTGCTGGGAGCAAGGTAACTACACTTCTGAGAACAGAGGTGTCAATCAAACAGAGTTTCATTTCACTCTCACTCTCCTCCCCCACACAGGTGGAGCTCAGGAGAACGAGGACCCCACCTGAGTCTCAGCCCACAGCTGAATCTGCTGCTCCTTCCAAAACGCCACCCACTCACAGAGACACTAAAGTTGCTCAACTTGATGGGAGACCAGGTACAAAGATGTTAATTAAATTGGATGGGTTGGAAAAATGACTGAAATATGTTATAGTTATAACATTTTATAAATGTTATTACGGTTGTGCATGGTTAAGATCCTATTAATTTATATGGTCATAACGGTCTCTCTGTCTTCCTCTCTCAGAGTCAAGCCCAACCAAAGTGGCAGGTAGGCTTGCAGACAGAGAGGACAAATGGCAGAGAATGAACATGGCAACGTCGGCGTCTCCTTCATCATCACCTTCATCATCATCCCCCCTGCAGACCAACTCTGACAGCGGGGGGCAGCCATCTTGGATGGAACTGGCCAAGAGGAAGTCAATGGCCTGGAATGACAAGACCATGGACTGATAGATTAAGAAAGAAAGAGAAAAAGAGAGGGGGAGAGGGATAAGGAGAGAGAGGGGGAGCACCGGGGGGGGGGGGGGGGGGGGGGGGGGGTATATAGAGATAGGGAGAGATACAGAGAGAGAGAGAGGGGGAGTTTCTTATTTGAATGCACTTATTGTCTAGACAAGAGCGTCTGCTAAAATGGCTCAATTGCAAGTTGTGAGAGTGATCGAGACAGAGCAAGACAGAGGGAGAGAAACAGCAACAACAGTAGTGATGGGAATGTAGAGTGAGTGAAGGACAAAGTGAGATGTTGAGTTCATTGAAGTGGAATTTAGTTGACCTTGGAAGCAAAAGCTATAAGCAAGCTGTAAAATCTGCTTCCCTTGAATGTACAGGCTTGCTGTGTTTGTGAAACAATCTTTGTATTGTATGTTTGCGTATGGGATGGCCATGAATTAGAATGGTTCTCTATCTCTGAATTCGTACGTTTTCTGTCTCTGAGGGTTTTGATCCAAACATATTTTTGTCCCAAACTCTGGGCTTATGTTAGAGATGGGAAAAATATTATTGATATATTGTTTAAATTATATATTAATTATATATCAGAAATAAGTAATTCATAAGATATTTATGAATTGAATAAATGCTTATGTATGTGACTAAATGCCCCAGTGTTGTTCTAACTCTTTATCTCTAATTGTTTATGATGAATAATACAATTGCAAATGTTTTCTGTCATTTTATTTTTGCTGACCACACAAACAGAGCCTTTAAAGTATTTCATTTCAAAACTATTTTGGGAATATTCTAAGCAAATTTACAACTTTAGAAAGCACAACAGAAATATTAATGCACAGAAATATGAAATTTGCCAAACCAAATTTAAAGCAGTATGTTTACGTTTACGTCATTTAGCTGACGCTCTTATCCAGAGCGACTTACAAATTGGTGCATTCAATTTATGATAGCCAGTGGGACAACCACCTTATTTTTTATTTTATTTTTTAATGGGGGGGTAGAAGGATTACTTTTATAATAGTCCAGGTATTCCTTAAAGAGGTAGGGTTTCAAGTGTCTCCGGAAGGTGGTCAGTGACTCCGCTGTCCTGGCGTCGTGGGGGAGCTTGTTCCACCATTTGGGTGCCAGAGCAGCGAATAGTTTTGACTGGGCTGAGCGGGAACTGTGCTTCCATAGAGGTAGGGGGGCTAGCAGGCCAGAGGTGGATGAACGTAGTGCCCTCGTTTGGGTGTAGGATCAGAGCCTGAAGGTAAGGAGGTGCCGTTCCCCTCACAGCTCCGTAGGCAAGCACCATTGTTTTGTAGCAGATGCGAGCTTCAACTGGAAGCCAGTGGAGTGTGCGGAGGAGCGGGGTGACATGAGAGAACTTGGGAAGGTTGAACACCAGACGGGCTGCAGCGTTCTGGATAAATGGTAGGGGTTTAATGGCACAGGCAGGGAGCTCAGCCAACAGCGAGTTGCAGTAATCCAGACGGGAGATGACAAATGCCTGGATTAGGACCTGTGCCACTTTCTGTGTAAGGTAGGGTCGAACTCTGCGAATGTTGTAGAGCAGGGGTATTCAACAAAATTTAAAAAAGGTCCAGTTAGAGAAAATGTTTTGAAGCAAAGGTCCAGAAGATCATAATGTCTAACAATTTAGTGGTATATATATTTAAGTAGCCTAGTAGTTCTGAATGTAATCAATAACTGACCGTCTAATCAAATTAATTCAGTACAATTCAAAAACTTGTTGACAATATTTATTATCACGAAACATAGAACTGAACATTAGGGTTGTCCTCGACTAAAGAAATTCTTAGTCGACTAACACTTATATGAGTTTGTCGACTAATCGATTAGTTGATTTAATCGACAGAGCTGTGCAAGACTAGAAAAGCGCAATATAAATGTAGTTAATTAACCATCTGTAAAACTGAGTTTCTCCGAAATTAATCCTGCAAAAGCACCACTTTAAATCTCGTGTTCACCAGAAATGTTCTCATAAGTTACTTGGAAATGAGTAATTAAGCATGAATAAGCAATAAAAAATGACTTATCGACTAAAGAAATCTTAGTTGACTAAGACCAAAACGACCGATTAGTCGACTAATCGACTAAGAGGGGCAGCCCTACTGAACATATATGTATGACTGTAGATATGTACAATGTGCTCTCATTAATTAACTAAATAAAACTAGGGCTGCATGTCAAAATAAGAGAAAATAAATAAAATGTGAAAATTGTGCATTTTCAAAAAAAGTGCTTAACTTCAGAAAAATAATATAAAGGGAGGAAAAGTTTGAATTTCCCCTTTTCTGTTTCACATCTTGACTCAACAGTCTCAACCAATTTTACAAATAATAAATCTCAACAGATCTTAACAATTGAACAGTTTTAGAGTATCACTTTCTTCCCCTCATATCCCACTCCACCATGTTTTTGCTCAGTGAGAGAATTGAGCTTTAGCCTGTCTTGCCAGAATTTTAAACCTGGGCTTGAATGGAGTCAGGGCCATTCTCATACACATGTGAAGGTGCTCATTGGTGAGCCTGGAACGATATTTAGTTTTAATTATGTTCATTGTGGAGAAAGCTGCCTCGCAGTTGTATGTGGAGCCAAACATGGTCAAGATGTATAGGGCTACTTTCCTCAGACCCGGGAAAGCAGTCTCAGGGACCATTTGGAACCAGAAAGTGGAAGGGTCAGTTCTTACAAACTGCTCTTTCAGGGCCACATCTGCTTGGAGATCAACCAATTGCATCTGGAGAGACCCAGCATTTACCCATTTAAAGTGCTGTGTGACTTCCTTTGAGAACCCCCTGACATCTGTGATCAGAAATGGGTTCTGAATGAACATGGTGAGCTGCTCTCCAAAGCTGAAGCTGTCAAAACGGTTGCTGAAGTTTACAATCAGCTTATCAATAAAATCAACAAAAGAAGACAAATCTCTCTGTCCCTGAACCTGTTCCTGCACTGCTGGGAAGTGTACACAGTCTCCCTGCAGGTCTTCCTTGAACACTTCAAGTTTCCTCTGAAAGGAGCGAACAGCTGTCATCAGTTCACAAATTGAATTGTCCTTGCCCTGTAGCCTCAAATTCAGTTCATTCAGATGTGACGTGATGTCAACCAAAAAGGCCACATTATCCATCCATTTCTCATTTTCTAAAAAGAGAGAAAACTGTGTTGCCTTCTGACTGCTTAGCTCTGCCAAAAAAGATGCTAATTCCCTCCTGATGGACCAAAAGCCCTCTAGCACCCTGCCTTTGCTGAGCCATCTCACATTGTTGTGCAGCAAAAGATCATCAGCATTGGCATCAACTTCTCTGAGGAATTCCCTAAGCATGCGATGCTGGTAGGAAGAGGATGCCCTGAGAAAATTTATCATTTTCATCATTGTATTCATCACCTCAGCATGCTCATCTGACAGGGAGGCACAGAGGACAGATTGATGAATGATGCAATGGTAAGATAAAAGCTCAGGATTGTCCCCTTTCAGTCTTGCTACAGCTCCTTTTTCTTTCCCTATCATAGAAGGGGCTCCATCTGTGGTTATTGAAACCACTTGTTTTGGCTCTATTCCTCTTTTTGTTAACATCTCCTTAATGGCCAGGTAGATATCCTCTCCTCTTGTACTGGTCTGAAGGGGAGTGACACCTAACATGTCTTCACAGAATGTTTTCTGGGCTGTGTTGAAAAACCTGGCAAACACTAACAGCTGAGCATTGTCACATATGTCAGTGGACTCATCCACAGCTAAGCCTACACATGGTGCCTTATGCATGGCTTCATCTAGCTGGGTTAGCACATCCTGAGTTAATATTTCACTTTTCTTTGTGGCAGATGATGCTGACATGGGAATTTGCTTTATTTTATCACAAAGCTCATTTTTTTGTTTTCCCTCAAGTAGTGTTTCAGCTACTGCACTCATGCATTCTTTGACAACCCCTCCATCTGTAAATGGCTTTTTGTGTTTACCCAAAATCCAAGAAACTCTGAGGGAACACTCAAGAGCACGTTGTTGGGCAGTGAATGTGTTGCTCAGGATCCTGGTGGACTGGTCATATTGGGCTCTGTCATTGTCCACTTTTCTTTTTTTGGAGAGTGCCATTTGTTCCTTATTTTCTCTAACTGTTACCCTTTTTCTGCCTCACTCGTCTGTTTCGCTCCCTTTCTCCGTCTCACTCATATTTTCGTCAACTTTCTCCGTCTCACTCGTATTTTCCTCAGCTTTCTCCGGCACACTCGTCTGTTTCTCACTCGTCTGTTTCGTTCCCTTTCTCCGTCTCATTCGTCTGTTTTCGCTCCCTTTGTTTTCTACATATATCGCTATCTTTTTAATCCGACTTTCTTTTCCTTGGTAACTTGCCTCTAAAACTCTCATCTGTCTGCACTGTAGAGTCCCAATGTTTACCGCCAGGAATGCAAAGACTTCATTGGCTGAGTGGTATCACGTGGGATCGCTTAACTCACATGCAATTGGTCGGTGAGTTTCCTCATTCACAAAACGAGTACCGTAAAGACTACAAAAGCTGTGCATATTAAAATAGAAGCGCCCCGTCAGGTTTTAATTCATAATCTTTTGTTTTGGTCCGGGTCCGTATGGGACGGCTTCTGGGTCCGGATCCGGACCGCGGTCCGCCTGTTAGTGACCTATGTTGTAGAGCATGAACCTGCAGGATCGAGTCACCGCTTTGATGTTAGCGGAGAACGACAGGGTGTTGTCCAGGGTCACGCCAAGGTTCTTTGCACTCTGGGAGGAGGACACAATGGAGTTGTCAACCGTGATGGCGAGACCATGGAGCGGGTAGTCCTTCCCCGGGAGGAAGAGCAGCTCCGTCTTACCGAGGTTCAGTTTGAGGTGGTGATCCGACATCCACACTGATATGTCTGCCAGACATGCAGAGATGCGATTCGTCACCTGGTTATCAGAAGGGGGGAAAGGAGAAAATTAATTGTGTGTATGAATCTTGTTCAGTGTCTATTGCAAAATACCATAGATGGAGAGTATGATAGTAATAAATTAGTTCTGGCCTGGGAGAATTTCTCAATAAAGAAAGGAGGGCAACATTCACCCTATTATTCCTTGGCATACCAGGGGATGGCGCTGTGGCAATTGTCGTCTACCAATTTTGTAACTTGTGGCTCCGCCCATTCCTCTCCGTGTGTTATGAAAACACAACAGACACACGTGAGTCAGTAAACACAAACAGAAGGACGAACTGGAGAAGGAAAGAAAATATCGCGCAGTTTGATGAAGCCACATCATCTTTCCCTGGCATTATTTGCCGCGCTACTGTGCCTTTGTGAGAACTACACTCTCAGAAACTCAGTATCTTGGGCTGTCGCCTCCAACGATGTCGTTGTGGAGGAAGAGCTGGACGCCGTGTCCGAGGAGGAGGTCGCCCCCGCTTTGCTAGTGGACAACAGCGGGCTGTGGAAACAGGCATACCCACCCTCCGTTTTACGAAATGGTGCGGAGAAGCCCAAAGAAACCGTCAAATCGAAAACGGAGGATGCAGCGCCCGTGTCATCTGCGTCCAGGGTGTTCTCCTATCGGATGGAGGAGGTGAAAGCACCCGCCAGTGCCCCCTCACCTCCCCCACATCAGGAGACTGCGAGAACCGCCAGATACATGGCCCACTACAGCGACTGGGGACATCTCGCCACCATTTCCACTCAAGACAAGGTACAGTAAAGCTTGTAGACCTACTTAAAGAAAGTGTCCTCTCCTCAGCATTGCAATTGCTCCATGAAGCACATTAACACTCAATGGACTATTATGCCTTGTTTTTAGACAACAGCCAGCTGGTCTGAAGCCTGTATGTGTGTGTCTGTACCTGTGTATAACAACATTATTTTGTATCTTCAGATTAAGGACCTTCCGTTCGGGAATATCTTCTCGGTCAGTGATGGCCCAATGGACAACAGTACAGGAGTTGTCTACTTCTACGTCACTCTGATGGACAACACTGTAGCAGACCTGAGAAGCTTCCCATTCGCCTCTCTCACCTTTTCAGAGGCAGAGGGAGACTTCTGCAGGTAGGACTGAGTGACACTCACCGCCTTTTCTTGGGTGGGTGAATGGGTGGGTAATCTTGGGTCCCCACCCAGTACTAGGTTGAAGTGGCACATTTCAAGTCTTGCTGTGTGTGATGGTTACACATTGTGCTCTGATCCCACAGGCAGCAGGTGTATGATCCTGAGGACCCCCGCTGTGCCAGACTGACCCTGACAGGCAAGATGGTGGAAGTGGGCCCAGAGGAGGTGGAGTTTGCCCAGGAGGCCATGTTCTCTAGGTGTTTGCGCACGTTAATCACTCGTCCTCCCTGAACATGTTCTGTGTGTGTTTCTGTCTGTCCAATTGTCTCTCACCAGCTCACCAGTAATGAAGTCAGGGACTACACATGGGCAATACATAGCACACCTGCCTGCTTGTTTAGTGTGTATAATGCTCTCTTTTGTCCTCTCCCTCCAGACACCCTGTGATGAGGAAATGGCCAGTGGGACACAACTGGTTCTTTATGAAGCTGGAGCTCAAACAGGTCTGGCTCCAGGATTGGGTTGGAGGGGTGTCACTCATCCCCCTGGAAGACTACTTCAAAGCCACACCCTACTGAGAGGAACTTCATCCACTTCTGGTTAAGAGCGTCTGCTAAATGACTAAAATGTAAAATGTAAAATGTATATTAATTTACTGCACAGTGCCAAATACGACACATGTGTACCAATACAAGACAGGGTGTTAGCTTCTATGGGTGCCACAACAGCTGTCCTCTGACCACATTCATCACCACTCAAACACATAAGAACAGAATTGGAGACTCTAAAAGCTCTAGTTCTTGAATATTTTGAAGAGAAATGGGGAAGAATCAAGTGTTCAGTTCTAGATCTTCTCTAGGCTGAGTGTGAGTGGTCTAACCATGGTGCATGCAGAGGTAACATCTAAATGTAAGATGTCCCCCATATCAACCAGTTTGCACTAACAGATACGTGTTTTTGCAGTTCAAGGGAAAGCTTCTACAGAATGTGAATATACAGACAAGTAGATATAGATGCATATAAGCAGACACTGGAGATTGTTCCTATTAATGTAAAGATTTTGTTGAATGTACAGAATGATTTTTTTGCTTTGCAGATGTTGTTTATCCAATGCTACCACCAAGCTTTTCACAATCTTCTGTTCAACAGCTAGACAATGGCAAATCAACAACCTACCTAAAGTAGACTCCTCTGGTGGACAATAGATCTTGACTTTGATATTGAGTGTTGTTGAGTGCTTCATACTGTCAAGTCAACTTTCTATTTTATGCTTGGGTGCTGTATCTGAGTCTGAAGAAAACAGCTTTTAAAATGTGAGTGTGTCAATGACGTTGTGCATGATCTAAAGCAGAAGTTTAATTAATGATATTGTTATAGATTGTAAAACTGTACATGCAATGTTGGGAACATAATACAAATGATTTGGTCAAATAATTTAAATGTTTTCCCAATCTTTCAATCACTGTATTTTTTAAGCATTGTCTATCTTGGTGCTTATGTGTTTTTTTTGCCAGTAAAGCTGATCAAGTGTTCTATTTTTCTTATCATTAGGTCACTGTTAATTTAGGTATGCTCTGCATAATTATGCATTGCTCAAGATGCATATTTTTCTAGCAGCTGTAGAATGATAGTATGAAAGCAAGGTGGCGCTCTTTAGACATTAAAACAATTATAGTCCGCTAAATAAAAGCTGGACAGATTCAGTCCTGAAGTAGTGCATCATATATTTAGTTATAAAAAATGTTTTCGTTTTTTTTGACAAACGGTATTTTCTAATATTGATGCTGAAGAGAGGCGTGTGTTTTACTTACTCGAGCATTCCATAAATTATGCAATGCGCAAGTTTGCTGTGTGTTGGTACTCCGCAACAAATGGCGTCTTGAATGGGGTGGCGCCTCGTGCATTGGCAGACGGTTGGCGTTGCCTGTCTGAGAATGTTTTGCAGATAAAGGAGTTTTTCTATTCAGTGATTATTCGTCACAAAACAAGAATTTGGCCAACTTCTAGAATACACGTCAGACTACAACAGTTTAACAGAGAGTAAGTGTAGCAAACGTCGTTTTTAATTGTTAAACTGTCATTTAGCTATGTATCACGTAGCTAACGTTAGCTAATCATTTCATGTTTAAGAAGCTTCAATAGAACAAGTCCCGAGCCTGTTATGTGTGCTGTGCAGCAGCTACAGAATAACCAGCCAGTAGCCGGCGTGGGAGTCTTTATCAGACAGGTAACTTAGCTAGCTATGTATTAGTCTGCCATCCGCTAGTGTAGGTGTAACTAAGTCTTTTCATTAATATAGTTAACCTTATCTTGGATAAGATCGTCTTCTAAATGACTAAAATGTAAATATGGAGAAGCACAGACACTACATAATGGTCTGGTTCCTAGCAAAGACTACCCTTATCTCTTACCCTCTAAATGTGGCAGTTACAGTAACGTTATCTAGTTTTTTTTATCTAGACTAATGCAATGTTCTCTTCGTGTCAAACCAGTTGATTCTGTTTACTCTTGCCATCCCCAGAATCACCAGAGTGCAGAAGTTCAAGGAGGCGTATCGTCAACACTAAGGTTCAGGATATTTAATTTTCAGTTTCTACATCCTCACTTTGTGCGGTGACTGCCACTGAGTGGAGGTGAATAATCATACCGCCCGACCATGCTCAAAACACGGGGAGATTCAGATTGTAGAACGCGCAGAAGCCTCGGTGTAGGTAGGGCTGCCTCGTGACTGACCACCCTCAAGCGAGAGGGAAAGAGAGCTCGACAAGTCACTCACTTACCGAAAAGGCACTGAGTGTGGACTAATTGCGACAGACAGGGAACGATCAAGAAATACATCATCCACCTTTCAAGCTAGCCCAACTTCTCAAACCTCCTCCCTTCCTACCGAGGCAAGCTACCGTATGTACGCACCTCAGCCTAGACGGACAACCCTGAAGGCAGTGAACAAGAGAGGCACGCCAGCACCGGGGTCCCCGCGCTTCGTGGAGAGAATCGCTGAAATGAGATGAGGCTCAGAAATGGAACGGTTGCAACTGCTATCATTTTCTTCACGTCGTTTCTCAGCCTGTCTTGGTACACAGCCTGGCAGAATAGCAAAGGTAAGCTAGTGGCTAGCTACCACTGTATTACTATAAGTCAATAACTGACAGCTGGCTAACCTAGCTAGCTAACGTTTTTGACAGCTGTTTATGACTGGTTGATGGACAGCAGGCTGGCTAGCTAGCAACACCTTTTCTAACTGAACTTAATGCAGTGACAGATGGACGAACAGATTGGCACTTTATATGAACTGTCTTGTTGGCTGCCTACAATGCTTTATCATCTTAAACTAGGGCTGGGCGATATGGCCAGCATATCATATCACAGTATTTTTAAAATGTTTTGATGGTTTTAGGGTATTTTATGTTTTTGAATAATAAGTTATACATTTACGAGTAGTGAGTGACCCTAGGGTGGCAACATATACACTACATGACCAAAAGTATGTGGACAGCTGCTTGTCGAACATCTCATTCCAACATTATGGACATTTAATATGGAGTTTGTTCCCCCTTTGCTGCTATAACAGCCTCCACTCTTCTGGGAAGGCTTTCCACTAGATGTTGGAACATTGCTGCAGGGACTTGCTTCCATTCAGCCACAAGGGCATTAGTGAGGTTGGGCAATGATGTTGGGCGACTAGGCCTGGCTCGCAGTCTGTGTTCCAATTCATCCCAAAGGTGTTCGATGGGGTTGAGGCTCAGGGCTCTGTGCAGGCCAGTCAAGTTCTTCTACACTGATCTCGACAAACTATTTCTCTATGGACCTCGCTTTGTGTACTGAGGCATTGTCATGCTGAAACAGGAAAGGGCCTTCCCCAAACTGTTGCCACAAAGTGGAAGCACAATCATCTAGAATGTCATTGTATACTGTAGCGTTAAGATTTCCCTTCACTGGAACTAAGGGGCCATGAAAAACAGCCCCAGACCATTATTCCTCCTCCACCACCAAACTTGACAGTTGGCACTATGCATTCGGTCAGGTAGCATTCTCCTGGCATCTGCCAAACCCAGATTTGTCCGTCAGTCTGCCAGATGGTGAAGCGTCAGTCATCACTCCAGAGAACGCGTTTCCACTGCTCCAAAGTCCAATGGCGGCGAGCGTTACACCACTCCAGCCGACGCTTGGCATTGCACATGGTGATCTTCGGCTTGTGTGCGGCTGCTTGGCCATGGAAACCCATTTCATGAAGTTCAGACGAACAGTTATTGTGCTGATGTTGCTTTCAGAGGCAGTTTGGAACTCAGTAGTGAGTGTTGCAACCGAGGACAGAAGATTTTTACAGGCTACGTGCTTTAGCACTCCACGGTCCCGTTCTGTGAGCTTGTGTGGCCTACCACTGAGCCGTTGTTGCTTCTAGATGTTGCCACTTCACAATAACAGCACTTATAGTTGACCGGGGCAGTTCTAGCAGGGCAGAAATGTGACGAACTGACTTGTTGGAAAGGTAGCATCCTATGACTGTGCCAAGTCATTGAGCTCTTCAGTAAGGCCATTATACTGGCAATGTTTGTCTATGGATATTGCATGGCTGTGTGCTCGATTTTATACACCTGTCAGCAACGGGTGTGGCTGAAATGGCCAAATCCAATAAATTGAAGGGATGTCTACATACTTAAATAATAATAATAATAATATGCCATTTAGCAGACGCTTTTATCCAAAGCGACTTACAGTCATGCGTGCATACATTTTTTTTGTGTATGGGTGGTCCCAGGGATCGAACCCACTACCTTGGCGTTACAAGCGCCGTGCTCTACCAGCTGAGCTACAGAGGACCACTTTTGTATGTAGACATCCCCCCCCCATCTATCTACAGACTACCCCATAATGACAAATCCAAAACATGTTTTTAGATTTTTTTGGTGCACATTTATAAAAAATTAAACACTTTAATAATCTATTTACATAAGTATTCAGACCCTTTACTCAGTTCTCTGTTGAAGCACCTTTGGCAGCGATTACAGCCTCAAGTCTTCTTGGGTATGACGCTACAAGCTTGGCACACCTGTATTTGGGGAGTTTCTCCCATTCTTCTCTGCAGATCCTCTCAAGCTCTGTCCGGTTGGATGGGGAGCGTCGCTGCACAGCTATTTTCAGGTCTCTCTAGAGATGTTAGATCGGGTTCAAGTCCGGCCTCTGGCTGGGCCACTCAAGGACATTCAGAGACTTGTCCCGAAGCCACTCCTGCGTTGTCTTGGCTGTGTGTGCTTAGGGTCGTTGTCCTGTTGGAAGGTGAACCTTCTCCCCAGTCTGAGGTCCTGAGCGCTCTGGAGAAGGTTTTCATCAAGGATCTCTCTGTACTTTGCTGCGTTCATTTTAAATAAATTCATTAGGCCCTAATCTATGGATTTCACATGACTGGGCAGGGGTGCAGCCTTGGAGGGCATAGACCCACCCACTTGGCAGCCAGGTCCACCCCCCATCAGATTATCCAGTAGGTGAAGAAGCCAGATGTGGTGGTCTTGGGCTGACGTGGTTACACGTGGTCTGCGGTTGTTAGGCCAGTTGGATGTACTTCCAAATTCTCTAAAACGATATTGGAGGCAGCTTATGGTATAGAAATGAACATTCAATTCTCAGGCAACAGCTCTGGTGGACATTCCTGCAATCAGCATGCCAATTGCACGCTCCCTCAAAACTTGAGACATCTGTGGCGTTGTGTTGTGTGACAAAACTGCATGTTTTAGTGGCCTTTTATTGTCCCCAGCACAAGGTGCACCTGTGTAATGATCATGCAGTTTAATCAGTTTCTTGATATGCCACTATTGTCAGGTGGATGGATTATCTTGGCAAAGGAGAAATGCTCACTAACAGGGATGTAAACAAATTTGTGCACAAAATTTGAGAGAAGCTTTTTGTGCATGTGGAACATTTTAGGGATTGAAACATGGGACCAACACTTTACATGGTGCGTGTATATTTTTGTTCAGTGTAGAATGATTATTCTAATTCTATAGTTAGGATATAATAGTGGGTACTTTGAATAGTGTTGTTTGACATTACAATGGATGAAAATGCCAGGGAGGAGTTATTGTGAAGGGAGAAACCTAAGTGTTTCCTAGGGAACACTCTAATCTTTGGCTACGTTGAATGTTTTATCTTAGCTAC